ATTGTAGAACGTTCTAAATATTGCCGAATGGTGATGATAGCATCTGTTTTAGCTGTTGAATAATCCTCTTCTCGATTGGATCTGATTCAAGAAAACTAAGTAACCCCTCTTTTTTCAATACTTGTTTTGATTGGTCACTTTCATTATTTTCTAGGTGTTCTTCAGATTTAGTCTGGGACGGGCCTAAAGTTTGCTCTGTCCGTATTTTTTTCTGAGCCAAAACATTTGTCAATTCATTTGTTAGCATACTTACGGCGTTCTTATAATTTTCATCTAGCCTAAATGCTGGTTTTTAAAACCTGGGATCGAGGAGTGTGCTTAATACTGTTGGAGTGAGAGTTTCATAAGTAGCTAATGGGACCTATGATTGAACGTTTACGTTATCCGTAAGGTACTTGTTAGGCCGAGTTTTAACAGTAACGAGTCAACTTCGTATGATGGAAAACTTTACTATTATTTTCCGCCTATTATGTTCTAATTTTAACAGTTTTCCATCATACAAACTTGCCTCGTTATTATTAAAACTCGACCTAACTTGTACGTTACGGATAACATAAACGATCAACCATACGACCCAATCTTTTTATTAAATCTGCTTGCAAATCTTTTATGAGTTTTTCACCACATTCAGTTTTGTGAATCACTGCTTTCAACTTATTGTGGAGTCCATAGATTATTGGAATCACTAATGACACTGTTAAATATGAGTCTCCTAAAAATTGTTCTGTGACTTCGAAAAATGGGGATAAGCCCGCAATCATATTCTCCATAACAGCAATTTCATCGTGGTTAAGTGGTTGTGAGGCTGCTTTATTAGAGCTGGAGTATAAAGCAAGTGTGATTTGGTCATTGATAAGAAGCAGCCGTTGCATCATTAAAAACAAGCTATTCCAGCGAGTGGATACTTCTTGAATCACCTTGAGGGTAGGCTTATTTTGATCCTGTTGGATGGAGCACAACTTCTCATATGCTTTTGGGCAATTTTTAAAATGGTTAACGATGCTTTTACAATGATTTATTATTGATTTTATTTCTTCATTAGAACCGGAGTTTACAGCATCCTGTACTAATACATTTACTGTGCGCGCAATACAAGGCATATGACGAATTTTGAGTAGACCACATGCATTGACCACAGCTGAAAATTTTCAATTTAGCTGCCAGTCGTCCACAAGTTTTTTGATCTGTTCTCTTAGATAAACTGCTGTGTGACTTTCAGTTAAGATAACGGTTTTCAATACTGCAGATATAAGCTTAAAGTCAAAGAAAAAATGGCAAGTTACTGTTATGAAACCTTGGACATTGATAGAAGACCAGCAGTCTGTAGTAAGGGCTACATATTCAACATTTTTATTGGAAAACATGCTTCTTAATTTTTGTTGCCCTTGTTCATACAAATTAGGAATAAGTGTTTTACTTACATATTTGGCACTTGGTATATTATATCGAGGGTCTAATTCATTTAATAACTGCCTAAATCACTTATCTTCAACTACGGAAAAAGGCTGGCAACCCAGACAACACAGATAGTCCAATGAACGTCCATTTTAGATCCATTTGAGGGCCAGAACGTCCATATCCGTATTCGAACATCCAGTGTACGTCCGTTTACGATCATTAATTTGACAGCTGCATTTCGATGTCCATAGGACGTGTTTTTGGACTTAATTTTAAGTTCAGTATCATTTTGACGTCCAGTGGACGTCCATCTCAGGTCATTATTTATTTAACCTAGCAGATAATACCCATTTATATATACTTCCTTTTTTAAATAGAATTGGTCATTAAAAATTGGCAAATTGAATCTATTACATTTCATTCTATCAGCGGAAGTTTGAAATCTTATTTTATTCATACCGTATCTAGTAAGAATTTTACAAGTGGCTCCGCGGTCGAGGTCGTCTAGCGCTTGAATGTCAAGAAAGACAAAGGACCTGTCGTGAGTTTGATACTTGCTCTAGTCAAGTGATTTTTAATTAAAAAAAATTATAAATGGTGTAGAGCGGGTTGCGAAAATAATAAATAAATTATTAATAATATAAAATAGTGTGTGGTGAGTTGCGGTTGCGTAAAAAAAGTAGGGATGTGGTCTCAATGGTATATAATCCAGGAATGGACGTTTTTTGAATGTCCAGTATTGAAAGTCCAAATATAATCCGGAATTGGACGTCCTATGAACGGTCAAAAGTGTGCTATTTGTATACGTCCATTGGACGTCGGAAGTCCAGAAAAAACTCATCTTTGGACGTCCAGACATCCAAAATTGTATATCGAATGGACGTCCAATTTATATTTGTGCTGTCTGGGAATATAAAGCGATAAACAAAGCTAGTTTTTCGTTGTCTTTTACAATTTGCACTATTTAAATCATAGAAGTTTTCTTTTTGAGGAATACAGTATTGTTCAATTTTTTGTTTTATCTCCTCCCCACCGTCTTTATTTTCAGCAATTTCACTCGAATGAGTTCTTTTTAAGTGATCCATCAAATTGGATGTATTACCTGATGACTTATATTCTTTTGAACATAATTTGCATTTCACGACACTGCTTCCACTTCTTTTATACTAATTATAATGAAAGCCAGCAAAACTCAAAACGTAACGGCAAACTGTAAAACTTGAACTACTCTACAACAAATAAAGCACACTAAATAATTGAATCCGGTGATTCCCCGTAATTGCATCGGGTGATTTTTCTCCAATTTGTTCATGAAGCAATAGATGGTAGCACGAGTAGAAAGCAGAGACATAAGAAAACTGGAGAAGACAGGCAATCCTAAATATAGATTTATGATCTAGTGCTGAATTGCTGTATGCTTGCTAATAAACTTGTTTTTTTAATTTTAGTTTTTTGAAAGGATTCTCGTGAAAATAATTTTAAAAATACTAAAAACAAACGATTTTAAGAACAGTCGATCCCAGTATATATATACCAATAGTCGATGGTCTTGAAAACTATCGATAGTTTTCGATAGTGACACACTATCGATAACATCGATAGTGCTATCGATAGTATCCGACCACTAATTTCTTCTCGCATCGATAAACACCGTCAACAACGACTTAAATAACCGGCGTTGTTGAAAATTATTCTCTTTGTTTAAATCTATCATTACCTGAAGGCTGTAATGTATTTTCTCATTTAATTTTAAGAAGCATCAAAAATGTAATGAGTGCAATGATGTTATAATTTTGACACGGTATTTAAAATTAAATGTTTTTCTATGTGATGCAGGTAATTTTATTATGTTCACACCTAAAGAAAGCTTTAAGATCAGTTTATAAAAGTGTAATTTCATGTTTTAATACCGTTTGCTTTGTAAAAAATGTGTGAAATCGTATACTAATGCGTTTCATACACATATTTTTTAAAAGTAGAAGATATAAATCCCACAATTTTTTTAATTTTTTCAAAATATTAGAATTGATGATATAAAAAACAGAGGTATGATACTTAGCCGACGAAATCTCGTCGAGTTCGCGCATGACGTATTGCGGTGTGGAATATGGTTATCTGATTGACTATGAGCAAATTAAAATTTATTTTCGTGCGCTGTTTTGATCAGCTAATACGTCAAATTCGTAAAAGCCACGCCTTCCATCACATTACGTCACCGTGACGTATAGCATCAATCTGCGTAATATCATACCTTCTTTATGTAATATCATGGTTAGAATCTCACCTCAAATCTTCAATCACTTATTGGAAATCCGCAAAGAATTTGTCAATTTTCTATCTGTATCTGTAACGTGTGGAGGGTGGGCATTTAGGCCTCATTAGGCCCATTGTGCATTCTCCTGAGATGATAGGCACCTCCTACCTCGTGAGCCAGCCTACAGATTTAATGTAGTCGACAACGTCGCCAAGAGGTGCTTCGCTTATGTCGGCTGGTGCTAGCCGATACTCACCGAACACAAATCTTCTAATGAGAGCGTCGAGCAATCGTAAGGAATATGCTCGATGGTCTCATCTTCTTGTTCGCACCCTCTGCAAAGTGCGGATTCTGAAAGCCTTATGATACGGAGATGCTTTCGTACTTGGCAATGATCAGTCAGAATGCCTGTGACAAGGCGCAGATTCTGTCTAGTCATAGTCAAGTATTTGTATGCTGCAGGATAACTTAAGACCTCCCTGGCAACTCTGCAGTTTCTTGTTTTGTCCCACCTTTCCTTAAATTTTACAAGGGAATGTTCTTTGATTAGGTCTGTCATTACCAATTTTGTTAGGCCAATAGAAGGGCCAGCTCCAAAAAGTATTTGGTTGGCCGCTTTCTTGGCTAGTGAATCAGCGATGTGGCGTGACCTTTGATCCATCGTAAGGTGACCACATTGTTGATGGATACTTCGGCCAAAGCTTCGTGATATTCCAGTACTAACCCTAAGTAAATTCGTGGTCTGTTCAGGGTGAGTAGTGCTTGTCTGCTATCTGTATAGATGAGCATGTTCCTTTCAATCTTATAATTCATTCGGCTACAAGCGATCGACCAAAATCGGTTCGCGATCGACTTGTTAGCTACGCTTGCTATAGAGTAACCAGTAAGATCTCTAGATCTGACGTTTCTTGACTTTTTTATTCGTCTAATTGAAAATAATAAAAATGTTAGTGTAAATTAAGTTTCTCCTACAGATTCACATTCAATAATCCAACAAACATTTCCAAAAAACCTTTCTTTTCTTTGCGAATCTAGCTGACAAACCTTTCAAAATTTTCTAAGTTCCGTTTAACATTTCTTTCAAAACATTCTGTTAAGATTCCCGCCTTCAAAAGGCTTGCGGCCCGGGGCTATAACCCATTTAGCCCTGTGATAACTTCGCTTTATCACACTATTAATTGCTATAAAATTAATAATTATTATTTTGAAACAAGAATGCTATAGAGTGAGCAGTAAGATCTGCAGATTTAAAAATAATTAAATTGTCTAAACAGTATAAATAAGTTTCTAATATTTATTTAATATATAAAAACAACATTCATTGAAATTTGTAAAAATATCAACGAAACTCTTATCATTTAAGATGTTTTACATAACAATTACTTTTAGTAATATTTCGCTTCTTAAGCAGAATTTAGATTAAACCAATAGCATTTCCAATAATGCCTCTACTTTTTGTTTATCCTTTAACTTTCTCATTCTCTACTCCAAATTTATCCTTTCCTGCATGCTTCAATCTACGGTGTGGCCAAATACACCTTTTGCACGAATCGTTCGCTTAATTCAATAACTGACAGTTGGCAGTTCAACACGAGTAAGTGACAGTTCACAATGGCAGAATCAGAAATTACACTGCAATTCAATACAATGAAAAATAATAGATGATCAAAGATTCATATTATTCGCGTGCAATAAGATGTTGCATATGAAAACTGTGAATAACTTGCTGAAACAACAACAGAAAGAAAAGTGTGAATAAGAGACTGGATAAATTCTAAAGTAAGAGAAGCATATCAACAATACTCAGAGAACTGTAGGTATGCTCAAAATCCTGCAGAACATGAAGATATAATGAGAATTGACCCCTGGCTAGCAATTGGCTTAATCTAACTTAGGCTTTAGCTTTCCTGTAGAGATTAAATTCTTATCATTAAAATATAATTATTTTCTAAGCATTTTTCAATAAATATCCTTCTTTAAGTTTCCTTCTTAGTATCTTTCCAGCGGCATTTTTAGGAATACTATCAACAACTTCTATCCCACCAGCCAGTTTTTTGTATGACGCAACTTTTTCTGCGACATATTCGTTGAGTTCATCAGAATTGAAATTTTTATCTTTTTTGGGAACTATGTACGCCCTAGGGACTTCCCCGTGTAAAGGGTGGGGGATCCCGATGACAGCAGCGTCATCTACCGTCGGATGGTTTCGTATTAGTTCTTCTAATTCCGCCGGTGGTACTTGGAAACCTTTGACCTAAAAAAGAGGAAAGTACTTTACCGCATCCTGAAGGAAATTGTCCGTAAAAGGAATAGAAGAATCTAAAAAGTTTTATTTTGTTATACAGGGTGTAACTAAATAAGTGTAAAACATTTAAGGGGGTGATTCCTCATCGAAAAAAATATAGGATCTTTCATATAAAGAAACTTCATTGGAGCATCCCTTGTTAAGATACAGCCCCTTAAAGGGGGTACATAAAATTTGTTTAACACTTTTTTTCACAAGCACTAAACAAGTTACAATTTTGAAATTAACCTGTCATTTTCTACTACCAAAAAGACACTTAGCCAGTAATTTATTTGGTTTACCCCATGGTTGTAAGGGGTGGAAAACGCAACCCCTAAAATTTCGTTCCAACGTAACTTTTTGTCTTATTATTTGTTTACCATTTATTTTCGATAGCCTGTTTCATTCTAAACAAAAAATGTCTCTTGAATTTTTTGCCCAAAATAAACCAGTTCGCAGCAAAAAATTATTTTCGTTTTATGGCGATATATATCTTTACGTAAATGTTGGTTTATATAGAGAGGAGACAGAAAGAAAAAGGCTCTTGGGTAAACTCTCACTCGAGTTCGGACTAAGCTCTCGTTTTTTTTTTTTTGGAGACTCTTTAAGCCCCAAAATAATGTGATGTGTAGAGTAAAGTTTTGTGTACGATTTGTAAATTATGGGTAAATATTTTTGACTTAATTTTAAAGTGTTTTGTTTAATAATAATTGATTGATTTACATATAAATGCAAATTTTACGTTTTTGTCCAAAATTATCATATTTATCTTATCCATATTTTTATATTATTATGTAGTTATAGTGCTTTATTCCCTAAGGTTCAGAACTTTCGCCCATAGGGCGAAAGCTCTCGTTTTTTTTTTTGGAGACTCTTTAAGCCCCAAAATAATGTGATGTGTAAAGTTTTGTGTACGATTTGTAAATTATGGGTAAATATTTTTGACTTAATTTTAAAGTGTTTTGTTTAATAATAATTGATTGATTTACATATAAATGCAAATTTTACGTTTTTGTCCAAAATTATCATATTTATCTTATCCATATTTTTATATTATTATGTAGTTATAGTGCTTTATTCCCTAAATGTAATTTTATACATTTTTCTTAAGACTATTAGTCAAATTTTATACTTATTGTTAATATACATTTGTTAATGTTTTAATAGGTACTTATTATTAATCTCTCCTCCCTTTCCAAACCAGTAAAATACTCCGAGCATTTGAGAAGCCTCAGCGTTTCTATTCCCTTAGGACTAAAAGAGTCTAAAACTAGTTGCCAAGAACCGCTCGAATATGCTATTAAGGGATAATTTTTATTCTTTTTTTTTTATTTTTTTATTATTTTTTTATTTTCCACTGGTGAATGGATGTTCCTTCTGAACTCCAGGACCCTTTGGCTGGTGACGGCGCTGCCCTAATCCTTTAAAAGTATATTAACAACAGTAGCTAAAGACCTATCAGTAGTTACAAATGGTCTTTAGGCTAACTGGTTGTTACAATAGGTCAAATTTCTTCTTATTGTATATATTATATTATAATATATTATAATAACTCTCAAAGGCTTCCATACTTTTGGATCACTCTTTTGGCTACGTAACACTTACTTTAATAAGTTCTTTCAGTCTATCGCTGATCCAAATGTGTTTATCTTCGTTGTAATAGCCAATGTCGCCTGTCCGCAACCAGCCATCTAAGAATGCGTTTGTAGTTTCTTCTGGTTTGTTGTAGTAGCCCTTCATGACTTGTGGGCCTTTAACAACAAGCTCTCCCTTTTGGTTTGGACCTAATGGTGTACCTAAAGGATGAAAGATGTATTTGCATTACACAGTACCAAGCACAAAATGTAAATAATTGCCTGTAGGATCATCTGGGTTAATGATTTTCATGCTTGTATTTGGCAACAATTTTCCTACAGAACCTCCATTTTTTTCTGTTCTTTCAACGTTTATAGGACTATGTGAAATAGCTGGAGAAGTTTCTGTGAGACCATAACCTAAAAAACAAACGTAACGTGACTAGTTTTTGTTGGAGTTGTGTGGTGATAGTTTGATTTTTAATATACCTTGAACCATTCTGATATCTGATCTACCGGCTTTCTTAAGAAACCTTTCTTCGTCCATGAATCCTAAAGGCGCAGCTCCCGATGACAGCATCTTAAGATTTTTGAAATATTCTTTTTTCACGGCGGGATGAGCACTTAGAAAATGAACTAAAAATAAACTACAAATAGAACAATAATTTCTTGTGCTCTTTAATTCTGGTTGAAATTTGGTTGCCGATTGTCCAATGTAAAAAATAGTAACAATACAAGATTTTGTAAATTTATTTATTAACCATTTTTAAATATAGAAATCTAAGATTATTTTCAGTGATTTGTTATATCATAATAAATATATAACTTACCTAAAGGGGGCGCAGCAGATATTACCGTGGGATAATATTTTTCTAATACTGATAAGTAAAATTCGGGGGTAAATTTTTCGATAGCTATACATCTTACTCCATTATAGAGGAACAGGAAATTCATCATCATTCCGTAAATGTGATAAAACGGTAACACAGCTGGCGAAATTTCTTGGAAATTCTCTAAAAATAAATGTTCGACCTATTTTTAGATAAACCCCTGTATAATTAAAATCATTTCTGCCACCTTTTTATTACATTGATAATCCTTATTGTTTTATTTAATTTTAAAAATAATAAAGGTAGTAGCAACAACAGTATAGTGTTATTTTTCCCTTGGATTTTAAACAATCCACAGGTGCGAAAAAGTGACATTTTTCTCACTTGTAACGTAAGTTGTAATTACCAGAAGGTTGGTCGTAATGTCTAAAATCTTCACTGCAAAATTGGATGATATTTGTAACGAGGTTCTTGTGACAGAGTTGTACGCCTTTGGGCAATCCAGTGGTGCCGCTTGAATACGGCATTATAGCTACGTCCATGCTTTTTCCCGGTTGAAGATCTGGAACATCGATCGGCGTATTGATCAGTTCGAAAAAATCGATTGTGCCTTGTGGGATGCTTTCGTCTTGCTGAGAAACAATGAAAAATAAAGATCTTTCAAGGAATAATAAAGTGGAGATGACAACCAATATTACACTTATGTATAACTGGTGGCCTAATATAAATTTAATACGTTATCGTTTTGTCCAAAATATGTTGTGATGTTCACTTCCGGAACTACCTGTATATGTATTGATATGATATGGAATTTTCTGGATTATTGAGTGTAGAGGGGATAGTCTAAGAACAAAAAAATACATCATGAAAAGCCATCGTGAAAAGCGGCTGACCTTATAATCGTAGAGAAAATTTGATAATACACGACAATAGTGTTTTTCGTCTTCTGATTTATATATGGGTGAGCTATCTATATCACTATATATCATTGGATCTTTCCCTTCTAGTACACGAGCGCCATTTTAAGTTTATACATTTTGAGGGACACATTTAAGATAAACAACCGTATGAGATTTTACTGTACAGTCACATAGGTACTTTGATTTTGAATTATTATCAAAGAAAAAAAAATACTACATAAATAAAATAAATAAATAAATAAATAAATATTTATAATTGCATAGGTTGATAAAAAATGCTATGTAATAACTTTCCCACGGCAGTCACCGAGTGCCACACGTATTTTTTTATTAATATTTTTTAATTTTTATTAATTTTTATTAATTTTTATTAATTTTTATTAATTTTTATTAATTTTTATTAATTTTTATTAATTTTTATTAATTTTTATTAATTTTTATTAATTTTTATTAATTTTTATTAATTTTTATTAATTTTTATTAATTCTTATTAATTTTTATTAATTTTTATTAATTTTTATTAATTTTTATTAATTTTTATTAATTTTTATTAATTTTTATTAATTTTTATTAATTTTTATTAATTTTTATTAATTTTTATTAATTTTTATTAATTTTTATTAATTTTTATTAATTTTTATTAATTTTTAAGAATTTTTAATAATTTTTATTAATTTTTATTAATTTTTATTAATTTTTATTAATTTTTATTAATTTTTATTAATTTTTATTAATTTTTATTTTTTTTTATTAATTTTTATTAATTTTTATTAATTTTTATTAATTTTTATTAACTTTTATTAATTTTTATTAATTTTTATTAATTTTTATTAATTTTTATTAATTTTTATTAATTTTTATTAATTTTTATTAATTTTTATTAATTTTTATTAATTTTTATTAATTTTTATTAATTTTTATTAATTTTTATTAATTTTTATTAATTTTTATTAATTTTTATTAATTTTTATTAATTTTTATTAATTTTTATTAATTTTTATTAATTTTTATTAATTTTTATTAATTTTTATTAATTTTTATTAATTTTTATTAATTTTTATTAATTTTTATTAATTTTTATTAATTTTTATTAATTTTTATTAATTTTTATTAATTTTTATTAATTTTTATTAATTTTTATTAATTTTTATTAATTTTTATTAATTTTTATTAATTTTTATTAATTTTTATTAATTTTTATTAATTTTTATTAATTTTTATTAATTTTTATTAATTTTTATTAATTTTTATTAATTTTTATTAATTTTTATTAACTTTTATTAATTTTTATTAATTTTTATTAATTTTTATTAATTTTTATTAATTTTTATTAATTTTTATTAATTTTTATTAATTTTTATTAATTTTTATTAATTTTTATTAATTTTTATTAATTTTTATTAATTTTTATTAATTTTTATTAATTTTTATTAATTTTTATTAATTTTTATTAATTTTTATTAATTTTTATTAATTTTTATTAATTTTTATTAATTTTTATTAATTTTTATTAATTTTTATTAATTTTTATTAATTTTTATTAATTTTTATTAATTTTTATTAATTTTTATTAATTTTTATTAATTTTTATTAATTTTTATTAATTTTTATTAATTTTTATTAATTTTTATTAATTTTTATTAATTTTTATTAATTTTTATTAATTTTTATTAATTTTTATTAATTTTTATTAATTTTTATTAATTTTTATTAATTTTTATTAATTTTTATTAATTTTTATTAATTTTTATTAATTTTTATTAATTTTTATTAATTTTTATTAATTTTTATTAATTTTTATTAATTTTTATTAATTTTTATTAATTTTTATTAATTTTTATTAATTTTTATTAATTTTTATTAATTTTTATTAATTTTTATTAATTTTTATTAATTTTTATTAATTTTTATTAATTTTTATTAATTTTTATTAATTTTTATTAATTTTTATTAATTTTTATTAATTTTTATTAATTTTTATTAATTTTTATTAATTTTTATTAATTTTTATTAATTTTTATTAATTTTTATTAATTTTTATTAATTTTTATTAATTTTTATTAATTTTTAATAATTTTTATTTATTTTTATGTTTTTATTTATTTTTATTTATTTTTATCTATTTTTAGTTATTTTTATTTATTTATTTTTACGATACTATTTCTCTCTCCTAAAATGTGAAAATTAAAAAACCTTGAAATACATCTTTATTCACATGATGAGTAGCTTCCAATTTTAACGTTCCTGCGTTTAAAAACCGAAAGTCTAATACAAAATTTGACCCCGCTTCCTCCTTAAAATGTAAATATCAAAAAACCCTGATATTTATTTATATATTTATTTATGATGAATAGCTACAATTTCAATTTTTTAAGTTCCTACCTTTAAAAAAATTTATTTTCCCTTACAAACTTACACCCCCTTGCCACTATTTTTCCTCCTTTTACCATTTCCCCCCTTTCCCCCTTTTCAACTTTCCCTCTTTCCCCCTTATCCCCGTTTCTCCCTTGTCCCTATTTTCCCCTTAAAATATGAAAATCCAATTGGCTGAAACACGTCATTATTTATTTATGCTCAATAGTTGTATTTCAAATTTTCATGTTTCACTACCACTATGCAAAAAATTATGTCGATCCCTTCCTCTGTCAAAAACAGAAACAAATTTATCCTACGGGAACCGTACTTTTTCCGGGATAAAAAGTAGTACGTGTGCTATTTCAGACTATAGTCTGTCTCTGTGCCAAATTTCATCCAGATCTGTTCACCCGTTCGGGCGTTATTAAACAACAAACATCCATCCATACATCTATCCATACATCCAAACTTTCACATTTATGTATTAGTAGGATGTGTATACCCGTAGGAGGTTGGCCTTTTTGCTATTTAAAATGTTCTTCAAATTACGTACAAATCTTAATAACTCTCAAGTGACAAATTTGGAAATTGGTCATTGTTGCTACAAGGTACAGAAATATCTCTTTACTTGGTTTTAAATAAAATAAAACTTACTCTTTCTTTTACAAAAATCGTAGGTACATCTCTTTTTAACATATTTAATGCAGTTCTAAGTGTGTCCAGTTGTGGTCCTTGTGTAATAATTATTTTTGGAGAGGCGTCATATATTTGCTTTGATATTTCATCTGAAAGAAGAAAACAAAATAAGTATACCAAAGCAAAAACCTTTATAATCGTTCCTCACCGGCAGTATACATATGGTTCATAGTGGTAACTGTCAATCTGGCTTCAAGTGCCCCCAAAAAACAAATAACAAATTCTGGAAGATTGGGTAACAAAAATGCGATAACATCTCCATCTTCTAATTTAAATTTTTGTCTAAGATGCTTCGATAAATTTCTACTTTTGATTGCAATTTGATCGAATGTGTAGGTTTTGCCTGATTTTGCTGATTCCTAAAAAATGAATAGCAATTAGTTATCCCACAATAAATTAATTTGATTGCTTTTAAGTGGGATTATTTTTTATGTGGGACTGATTTTTTATGTGGGATTGACTTTTATGTAGCAATGGTTTTGGGATTGGTTTTACGTGGGGTTGAATTATGGCGAGAATGCAGATAATGCATATCTGCAGCTTTGCATATCTGCAAATAGGTCGGAATTACAGATACAAGATACCAAGTATCAGCCTTGAATATTCCAAAAAGTGTCTACAAATAATGTATAGTTTTATTGATATTGGCTACATACGTACACTGTCATATATGTCAAAGTTTACTAGTTCACATTTCATTTGTTTATCAAACAAAATAAAAAATAATTTATAGAGTAGAAAGTAAAAGCGCGTTTCATGTTTTTTTTACACCACTTTTTTTTTTCAGGGAAGATGACAAATAAATTCAGAAGAAAAGCTTCCACAAAATTTGTTACTAATCTATGTATAATGCAACTAAGAATTTCCATCTAATGACTCAATCTCAATCTGAATCTCAATTCAGTCATTTAAAATCCACTTAAGAAAAGTAATGGCTAATACAACTGACATGAGTTGTTTTGAGGATCATGAAAAATTATTTTGTAGATGTAGATTAGATATACATACCTAAATAAGATGTATATGATTAAGTTAATAAATTACGGCTACTCGAAGACATTACCATTGTATATAGAACTATTATACAATGACATTACCTTCAGTTACACAAAAAATTATAATGAATGATCTGTCATTTCAATTGTATTGCTTCTTGATCCCAAAATTCTATAATTAAGTTAGCTACTTAAAGACAGAATATTACCATGCAAAAGGTAAACATTCATTACGGGAACCATAACATTCAAACACACACAAAAATTATAGTTTGTTACAAAGACATTACAACTAAATTGTTTACATTTTTTTTATGTTGCAAATCATTATTCCCACCAGATTCTCGTTTATTGCGTCTTTGGCGGTTTTATCAGCCTGTAAAAATTATTTGGAAAAATTACTTTCGAAAAATAACATTTAATGTATCCTATAACTATAATTTTATATTATATAAATAAAAATATGTTTTTAATCAAATTATTCTTTATAGTTTTAATATAAGCTCTATTTTTTATTAAAAATCAATATTAATCTAAACAAAATATTAGGGTTGCAAAGAACTCCGTAAATAGGGCAACGCTGAATATCTTATTTTACGAATTTACAACTTTTATGAATGAAATGTAGTTACGTAGTTACCGTAACCAGCCGCAACGTTGCCAATCGGGTCTAACAGTTATTTTGTATTTCTGACAGTTTATGACAGTTTCTGAGTGACTTATTGATTTATCCATTTATAAAATACTATTTTTGTGAACTTTTGTGAGAAATATAAAGAATTACGGTACATGCATGTGTAGTGTTCAATAAAATAGATCATTTAAATCGAAATTTGTCCTTTCATCGGTAAGTATTTTTAGGTTAAGATATGTTGTTTTCATTTGAACCAGTGGAGTAGGGCATGACTGTTTTGACTATACAATTTCTTGTACAAGATTTGATACAATTTCTTGTACAAGATTTGATACAATTTCTTATACAATTTAAATTGTACAAGAAATTGTATCAAAAACTTATGTAGTCTAAAACAGTCTTAAAACACTTTTTAAAGTGATATTCCTTTTATAAATTAGTAAATTATTCTTATACTAATAAATAATTATTGAATAGTGGCAAAGAATATTTAACGTAAAATGTAGAATACCTTAAAAATGATTTACCTATTAGGCACCTATACATATTTTTTAATATTCTATTTAGGTTTCCGCAAGATCCTGAGAAAAGAAAACTTTGGTTTTCTCTAGTAGGAATCCTTAAAAATGAGCCCCTTCGTAAAAACCCAGAGTTGTGTTCAGAACACTTTTTTCCTGAAGATGTTTTAGTACGTGCAAATGGTGCTAAATATATCAGAAAAGATGCAAACCCCAGACGGTGTAAGGGTTTTCTATTTTTGGATGACTTATCCAAGAGGTAAAAATACAAAATATAAATTTTTTTGTTTACCTCTAAACATTATTTATTACCTATGTGTATGTATATCTAATGTATGGGTTTTTAGTTCTGATTAAACTATTTTTGGAACACCACCTGCTGCAAAAAAACCATTGCAGTAAGTAATAACACTAATAACTAAGCATAAAAAAATTAAATGAAATTTTAGTTAATAAAATTAAGGTATTTAATATATTTAAAACGTTATTTTAAACATTTTTACAGTTTTTTTACGATATTTTTTGCCATGCCATGTTTTTTTGTAATTATTAATTAAAAAATTATATATTTTTAAGACAGTGTTTTATTTAGATACCCCTACCTACTTAATGTTAATTTAAAATTTTAAATAATTTTGGTTAACATCATACCAGGCAAATAGTAGAAGAACCGATAATTGGAACAATCTCTTGTGGCTGAGACAGGCCAAGATACTTCTGGGTGAATATAACCAGAAAAGATCGGAAGCCTGCATTGGCCTGAGCAAGAACATGCTACGTATTGTAACAGGGATCCTTAGCGGGCATTGTCGACTACCTAAGTGAACTGAAAGTAGTAGCGGATAGTGAGGAGGAGGAGGACGAAACCTCCATTCCCATCCTAACTAAATGTGTAGACCCTACCTTTAAGGTACGGTCTCTTTTGGGCGAGTAGTCGAGACGTTTAGACGCGGCGCTTAATCGCTTACGTCACGGGGGTTTATAGCATATGCGCATTTTGTCAACAAGTTACTTCGCATCGAAACTGGCGTACGTTCGTTTTACAATAACACAATTATATATAAAATATAAAGAAAACGGAATAATTACAAAATATCTCAATAAAAATGTGTAATTAACTTGCCAAAAGTAATAGTTTTACATTTTTTTTATTTATTAATCGTAAAATTGAAAAAATATGAATTTATTCAATTATTTGTGCAATGTAAACCTGGCTTTGGATAACAAAACCCAAATCTCGTTAATGCTCGAGTCGACTCGATAAACGAAACCCGAATGATACAATAGTATATTATGCAACGATCATGTAATGATGGTTATTAATACACGAGCATTAACCGGGATACGAAACGAGCCAAAGGCGAGTTTCGTATGGTCTATGCGAGTGTTTTAATAACCATTACATGAGAGTTGCATACGCTATTTTTTCTACACCCGATAAATAATCAAGACCTATAAATATTATATTTATATTGGTATTGAACACAATAACAGTAATTACTCGTATTTCTATAAAAAATTCTACAAAATTGTAATTAATGGTATTACTTCGGGTATTGGTATTTCCCTAGATTTTTGCTGCAAAATATTTTGTACTGTATTTTCTGCTTTCTCCGATATGTGTGGAAGAGTCTTCTATATCGCTGATATGAGACATTTTAATATTATAATTATCGAAGTTTAGCTATCTACGAAAATTTAATACGTTTTGACAACTAAAACAATTACATAGAAACCTAGGACAAACGTCAAACAGCATGCTTGATTGAAAAATAGTAGGTTTCTATTGATTAAAAATCTGTATCGTAATGAAAAATCTGTATCATAATGGGTATCATTATGAAACGGATTATGGGCATATAAGTGCATTATTATAATACGGGTGTAGAAAAAATACAATATGGCTTTCGATGTAAACAATTCTAAGTGAGTTTTACTTTTATTTAATACAGTTTTAGGCATAAATTTAGTAATAATTTACTGTAAGTAAAATTATTTTGATACTTTTGCATGTCTATGTCCTATAAATGCATATATTTGATTGTAATAGTAAATTGTTCTGGCCCATTTACACTGTTTTAGAAAAAACATTTTCATTTTATTGTCAACTGAAAAAAGGATTATTATTCGTATTCGTAATTGTGTTAACCCCAAATATTGAAATCCTTAACAAAGTTTTAATTCTGATATTCATTTTGATAATTATCCTAGATATGCCAATTTAATTGTATGTATTATAACCAAACTTTTTAATCTTTATAAATCTAAAGTATTTTCATTACATAAAGCAAGAAAATCTTAATTAGACGTTATAGAAATGATAAGTAGTAAATTAAAAATTAGTTAAATCGCTGCAAATGCAAAAGTAATTAGTCACATACAATCAAAATCATGTGCTTTGGGAAGTATTTCGCTTTCAACAATTGTTTTTTTTTTCTTTTTGTTTCAGGATTCATGGATGGAACTCTTGTTTTATTTCGCACGAATAAAGAAAAATTTTGTTCGTTTTGTGTTATTTACAATAGTTGTTTATTCAGAAAATATATATTATGTTTATTGTTGTAACCAATAAAGATTCAACAAATAATATTTAGTTATAATACAATTTAGTATTATTTATTTTATACCTCTAAAATTATTTAACATAAAATTTTATATTTTTATTAGCATTTTTTAACACGCATGAGATGCGTGTTAAAAAAATGCTATTAAAAATGTAAAATTCTTATATTTTGTTGAAATTCAAAAGCCCGCCAATTTTCAAATTAAAATAGCATTATAGCTTTTTATATTACCGACTGAGTATTAGTTGCACAAAACTATCCCACATGTCCTGAAGGCAAACATGTTGCCATATTTATACAAAGAAACGGCAACTCTTAATTATCCTTCCTCCATGGCTTACATCTAGACGCACCTGATCGCACCTAGTGGTCTGTTTAGGTCGTCAACTCAAGTAATTGACTAGTCGCCAATCAGTATTTTTTATTTTCTTCGACAAAAATGATTACTATCTCTGTTTTTAAACTAAGAGGAGCGATTTTAATTTAAGTTGGCAATTCTGTAGCCTTCTGATTGGTCAGATTACAGTCAGTTTCACACATTACTTTTTAGCATGAACATCAGCTAATAATTGATATTGTTGACAGTTCTGACATTTTATAATTTGATATCTCATCCATTACTTAGTTTTTTACTTTATTTCGTAAATAATAGTTCTTCAGTAAGCAATTGTATTGAAAATCTACAATTATGGATCCTTCTACACTGAGTACTATTAATGGTAGCAATTCCTGAAAAGCCTAACAAGAAAGGGGAGACACCTTATTATTTTACATGCTGATTCTGAAGGTTTTGTAGAAAATGCATTATTGGTTTTTGAAGGTAAAAAGATGGGAGAATACCACGAAGAAATGAATTCCGAAGTATTTTAGAAAAAAATAATTTTATTACTGAATTTTTAAAACTAAAAATTGATGAATTTCTAACCAAAATGATTAAAATGTAACTAAATATTCAAGCAAATTTTATTTATTAGAATAGAATAAAACTATTTACAAAATTGTTATAGCATTTAAAACACCATCTACTACTTTAGGGATAATCTTAATTTGGCACAATGAGTATTTTAAAAATACTTAAAATTAATACATAGGTATGTATGAATAGTTCACTTTAAAAAATATATGTTGACATGTAGTGTTATGAAAATGTTGGTTCCAGTTTTCAAAACAAATTCTGACTCATAGGCCTGTAAACTTTTGAATGCCTTTATTCGCCCTCTAGCGCATTAACCATGGGTTAACACTAAATAAGCCATAATATCCACATTACTCATAAAAGAGATACCAGTTACTGTGTGATCCACTTGTCATTCACTGATTAACTTTTACTTTTTATACCTATAACAAATATATCCTTAAAAATGTAAACAGATCTTTATATTTTATACTAACCTGGCTACATCTGGATATTCCATTAACAATATTTATTATTCATTTTAAAAAGATCATAGTTATTCTTAAAAAAATTCGATTTCAAAAGCAAGAAAAAAGTATTTCTGACATCAATCAACAACCATATTTACTTTAATTTGACAGTGACATTTCGTTTTAGACACACATTTCAGATCACAATAATGTGAAATTTGCAACCGTTGTCTGGGACCAATTAAAAAATTACTTCTATGACATTTATTCGTTTCTTAACCGCTCATTGGCCGTTCACCGACTAAGGCCGATAAAGATAATTATTTCATAAATTTTGAACACGACTATATTTCGAAACTCGCTCTTAGTAACAAATCTAGTTACTTTTCCCTGTGTAAATGCCTCTTTTCAATTCGCTCCTCCTAGTTTAAAAACAGAGTATAGTGAACTTGTGATTGCAGCACAGTTGCTTATAGAAGAAGCAAAAGACGATGACATTTTGTTCAAAGAAGAGGAAGGGTGCTTTAGTACGCTAATAATGAGACATTTAATTGATGACGAAACTAAATTCAAAGAATACTTTAGGCTTACCAAAAGTCAGTTTAATGAACTGTTAAATATTGTATCAATTGATATAAAAAAATCCTTTGGAACTTATTTTGCATCAAAAGCAGGCGATTAAATAAACGTGCGCATTTCAATTGCCTGACGACCAATTTTGCCGTAAGACGCGTCGTCTTGTAGCGACTTGTATCGACTTGTCGCTTAAATCAGACCATCATTATGATATCACTATTTAACCTATCGACACGATTAAACGCCGCGTCTAAACATCTCGACTACTCGCCCAAAAGATACCCTACCAGCGACAAGCCGATACAAGTCGCCACAAGACGACGCGTCTTACGGCAAAATTGGTCGTCAGGCAATTGAAATGCGCACGTTTATTTAATCGCCTGCTTTTGATGCAAAATAAGTTCCAAAGTATTCTTTGAATTTAGTTTCGTCATGAATTAAATGTCTCATTATTAGCGTACTAAAGCACCCTTTCTTCCTTCTTTAAACAAACATTTTATGAATCTTTCTACGCTTTTTTGCATTAATTTTAATAGCAAAATGTCATCGTCTTTTGCTTCTTCTATAAGCAACTGTGCTGCAATCACAAGATTACTAGTAGTCATTTTTGTCGAACGAAATAAAAAATACTGATTGGCGACTAGCTGATTACTTGAGGTTACGACGTAAACAGACCACTAGGTGCGATCAGGTGCGTCTAGACATAAGCGATTAAGCGCCGCGTCTAAACGTCTCGACTACTCGCCCAAAAGAGACCGTACCTTTAAATTGTCTGACAACCAGTTTTGCCGTAAGGTGCGTCGTCTTGTGGCGACTTGTATCGACTTGTCGCTTAAATCAGACCATCAATATGATTATCACTATTTAACCTATAGGCACGATTAAACGCCGCGCCTAAACGTCTCGACTGCTCGCCCAAAAGAGACCGTACCTTTAAATTGCCTGACATCCAATTTTGCCGTAAGACGCGTCGTCTTGTGGCGACTTGTATCGACGTGTCGCTTAAATCAGATCATCAATATGATTATCACTATTTAACCTATAGGCACGATTAAACGCCGCGTCTAAACGTCTCGACTACTCGCCCAAAAGAGACCGTACCTTTAATCTCTTTATTATGATTTAAAAAACTTTAAATGCCTTTAATTTTAGAGATTTATCAATTTTCATTTTTCTCTTTTGATGCACTTCAATTTAATTAATATCTTGTTTGATCAGTGGCGTAGCCACGGGGGGTTTTGTGGGGTCAGAATCCCCCCATGGAGGGTCTTCGCGACACTATTTTCGCTATAGTATTGGCGCTGAGCACTATTGAGTGTTCGTTTTTATTCATTTTCTTGATGGAACCCCCCCCCATAGTTTTCAAAAATCTCTCCCATGAAAAATTGCTGGCTACGCCACTGTGTTTGATAGTCTTTTTCTTTGTCTCAGCTTGAACTGTGAATTCAGTTTGTTGTATTTTACATCTAGTTTTATTCCCCGGCCTATATGAAATTCGTGTGTTTAAAGTTTCTTATGTGGTTTAAATGTTAACTTTATTATGGTTATGTATTTCTATCTTTCTAAATTTATTACGGTTTATTTAATTTAAATAGTTGTACAGTGGTAATCGATTGATTCTGCAACAATTTCTCAGCTCGGTTTAAAACATTGGTGTGTGTGTATAAAGGGCAAAATAATAGTAAATAATTAAGGTACTTACTGTAGCTATTAAGTTAGAATATCCACCTATTTTACTGTAAATTAATTCAGGAAGTGAAATATCTGGAATAACAATATCCTTGCTGTCACTTTTAACTACATTAGGGTGATTGTCCTGGTTTATAGATGAACTCAGTCGCTTCACGTGATTTTTCCACTCAGAAAAACTCCTCCTGTTACCCAATTTACCTCGAATTAAAGACATTTTTTGCTGCTTCAAAGTTCACACCTAACTGAGATTTGCCCTGATTATAATTTGAGAAATTTTTGTGTAAATATAATTATATCTAAAACCTTAAATAACCTTATCAATCGTGAATTGCGATAAAGTGAATTCAAATAAAAAGAGTATTTATTATTAATATATATTTTGAACTTGGACTTGTGTTATCTATTTTTTTTTTTTTCATTTAATTAATTAAAATTATCGTTCGAAACAAAAGATTGTAAAATATGTTGGAAAACAATTGGGTTCAATCGGCCGTCAATTTATTTCCGATAAATAATTTACTTTAACTTCACTATTTCACTGTTATAACTAAACCATACCAAAGATATACACATTATTGACTGATAATTATAAATTTAAAATAGGTATGCAGCTATTACAAATGCAATAAAACAATACCACAAGTAATTACAACATTACAGAAAACCGAACAACCTTTGAAACTCGAAATCAACATAAAATACGGAGGATGTTTCGTAACTTGCTGTTGGTGTTATGTATTTTTTAATGCGCGTTATATTGCACCTAATCTACATAGATCTATCAGCAATTTTATCTTAATATAATCTAAATGAACTAAAAGATTAATACTAAGAAGTAATGCATTAGCGTTTCACAGGTACTGTCTTGGTTTATTTTCTTCTTTATGTGTGCTAAAACTTACACTATTTCATTGTGCTCTGTTTTTTAGACACTTTCATTATTAGCTCACACAAGATCTGAGGGTATTGTCCTCTTCTTTCTATTTCATGCTAGTCGAGGTTCTGAAGCGTCTCAATGTGATCTCAATGCTCACATCCGTATGAAGCCTTTTTTTTGTGTGGGAAACCGCTTTACATCTGCTATTGAGTCTATATGACAGGTAGTGTCAGGCGGTACCCCTCCAACTAAAGCCCCTCCTTTCTTCGCCACCAAATGTTGGTATAGCAGGGGCAGAAGTTGGAAATGCTTTTGGTAGGTAGAGAAGAGGTAAACGTCAAATCACTTCGGACGACTTCGAGAATTTCGCGGTAATGTTTACCTGCCAGTGTCGTTTCATAGATATAGGCTCAGTTGCGCCCAGCCCATTTGCGCTCATAACCTTTTTGCGCTCCAGAAAAAGGTGAACACAAATAATTGGCTTATTTGCAGCATGATTTGCAGCCCCTTAGTAATTATGGCATTTCAGATTAGTAGGTACCTACGTCCCATTTACAATATTTAAATACACGCATAGTCGAGTATTATATTAGTCAAGTTTTTGTATATAGGATAAAGCGCGTAAAATAATAAATCAATATAATATTGATATAATTTTTTTAAGTTATATTTTATTATTATATTTAAAAAACAAATTATTGTGTAAAATATTGTCCCTATTTTTTAAGATAAAATTATAGAACTGTCACTTGGCAATAAATCAGAACGTACCATAGTAACGAAATCAACGCAGACTGTAATATCAAACGGGTATCGGAAAAATGAACAACAGGGACCGGTAATAGTATTTACGTTATAAGTTCATTAGCTACATCTTTACATGCGAGCACGGTCGTTAACACAAAGCACATAGAGGTTCCACGTGAATGACCAAGGTCAAAACCGACAACTGACATTTATTATGCTATTTGCTCCAAACTCTAGATGGGTCTACTGGTGAAATTATGATTTCCTACTCCATTTTTAAGCTTTATGGAAGAAAAACAACCAAAAACTCCAAAGATGTAACATGTATTTATTTATGTTTTTGGTCAGACGCATTTTTTCATCTGATTTTAGTGATTTTTTGTTGGCTTTAGTTTCTGTTTATAGTTTCGTCTTAGTTATTTGCAAAATTGTGATGTTTTGCTTTTCTATTTCCTACTGTGTTTTGCAATAATTTTGGTGCTACGTTAAAAACTTCGAGAGAAACTTCATTGATTTACCATGCATCATACAAAACGGGTAATCAATTTATCACTGGACTAGATTCCGAAATCATTTTTCACATAAGAAGAGTATACCATTTGTATTTGGAGGGAAAATATTTATTAGTGAATGAATAGTTAAACGGATTCACCTTCCTGGCTCACGAGCTAGGATGTGCCTATATATCATCTTAGGAGATGCACAATGGGCCTAATGAGACACAAGTGCCGTGGGGGTAACCCACCCTCCACACGTTACAGAGAGAGGATTCACCTTTTAACCCAATACCTATATTACATTTATCCTTCAGGTAAAAAGACATTTATAAAATATAACTTTAGTGTTAATAAAATGTTATATCCTAGTTTCTACTTCACATTTCAATATATTGATATTGTAGAGATTTGAGATTGTATACCTATTTACTCCAAGTAAGTATTCGTTAAATATGTATTATTATTTAAGTTATTAATAAACATATTTTAAGAATGTTCTATTTATTATTTATTGATATATCTTATATTTTATTTAATAATAATATGCAGAACCAACTCTCCAAATTAGACCCATTATAACAAATTAATTCCTTAAATTTGGCATGTCGACCTAAATTATTTTGTAAAATAAAAGTTTCGAACTTACTAGTTCCATACTTTATTTTATAAAATAATTTATGTGGAAATCATTTAAAATTTAGAACTATTACCTACTACTAAAAATTATAATTTGAATTTACCGCCATCTGTCAATTGTCATTTTAGTTCCTGCTCCAAACTCAAGGTGGCGCTAATTTGGTTTAAAAGTGTACCATTGGCGTGGGGTCTCTAGAAGATACGTGCTTTGTAGTCGTTAATGTGTGAGCGCTAGCGAGCACGTTATCTCTCTCTCACTCTCTCTCAGATTTTTCTCTAATAGCAGCTTTTCAAAGAGACATATGATTTAGGTTCATTCGGTGGTTTCCAAGGTTTCAGGATGATAATGACTTTCGCAATCATCCATACACTTGGTACATACTTCAGTCTAAAAGACACATTTAAGTTTTATAATACCTTTTCTTAGAAGTTTTTCAGTAGTTATCCTGTAACGAGATCGTATAAGGAGCCTTTTATGGATTGATGTTTGATTTCATTTCTCTAGTAACTGCTTTTAGGGTAACAAGTTTTTTCTCATCTTCCTCTTTGATGTTTCCTCTAGATCATTTTTGATATCTGATTCATTGGGTTGGAAGATTATCTCTAGATGTTCTGCAAAAAGTCTATCCTCTTTCTCCTGTTCGTATAGGGGGAATTTGGGTGATGGATCTCTCCAATTTCTTTGTTGCTTTTTTTCAAGCGGGAATTTTATTATAAACGTTAGTGGTTTCCTTGAAATAATTTGATTTTTTATGTATATTGCTCTGTATTTTTGATTCGGTTTTGAATTTGATCTTTCATACTCAAAAACTCTATACTTATCATTAAAAATAACATACCTCTGCTTTCTTATGCCGTTCTCAAGCTTGACGATTTTTGAAGTAAGTGGGTACCTATACTTAAAAGTTCGTAAAATATATTAAAATCAAATTTTATTAAAATTTCAGGTTGCTGCCCCGGGAAAAAAGTAGAAAGGTTGATATTAACAATGGAAAAGTTATAGGTGGTTTATAATTGATAAAAATAATACACGCCACTGGGGAAATTTGGTTTATCTTGTTTTTAAAATTAATTATCTTTTACATCTCTTGACTTTTGATCGAATCAACGTTTACGTGTAACGTGTATATGAACTTTTTTCCTTAAAATTATGAACAATTATAAAAGCAATATCAGAACTATAATAGTTTATCCACAAAAAAATTTAAGACTGGTTGTGATGATAATATTATGAGCGGACCCAGTGTCGTAGTGCGATAGAGATAGATATATGTTTAGGTATAATCATAGGAGCAACTAAGATGGGATATACAAAGCGATACGGATGGAGACACCGTTAGCAGACTGTAGATCATCCGCGGTAGCTGTTTTAATTGATTTGTTCTATATTAATTAATATTAGTTAATTATTATAAAACATAAAACTATGGTTGACGTTTTGTTATGATTTAAACACATTTTATAAACTTTTATAAAAAAGAACCTTTTTTTAATTTAAAAGCTTGTTTAGCTAATTTCGTAAATCTTTTGCATTTTTTTCTAAAATAAAACCGAGGAATTTTTTTTAGTTTTTTTACGCCGTAAGCCCCAATGGTTTTTTAAATATTTAAAATAATACATTTAACTATAATGTAAAGTGACTTTTTGGATTTTGCGGTCATATTGTAGTACACGTTACGCTCTATGCTATGGTACCAATATCTCTTTTTTTTTTTTTTTTTTTTTTTTTTTTTTTTTTTTTTTTTTTTTTTTGAAAACAGTCTAATTTTGGATTACCTTCGATTTTATAATCTCCAAAATATTAGTTTTCAATTCACTAACAATTCAGCTTGTCACACTTAATCCCTACAGGATTCATTTCTAGAGCGGTTTTGTTACAAATAGCACCATACTAATATGTTAACCTTTTCTTCTACGTTAACTCGGTCATTATGTATTATATGGCATCGAAAGGTAACCGTCTTGCTGATTCACTGGCCAATAAAGCACCCAACCGACATACTTTGATTACTATACGGTGCAAGAGAGACGTCCGACACGCCCAACATTGGGCGCGGCCATTTTGATGCCTTTAACACAGTTTATAGCTAAAGAATCAGTTCGCTCACTCTGTGTCAGCACTTTTGATCTCAATGTTCCAGTTTATACACTGCGCAACTCGGATAATACAATATATGACAACCGCCTATAATAAAACAGCAGTCTTCTGCGCATCCTGAATGTGTATTCCTGGAGTGGATGTTATTTTAAAACTTTCAACTGGTCCGAGTGAGCTAACTGATTCTTTAGCAATAAACTGTGACTCCAAAAATAATATTGACTGACACAGCAGCAAGTAAAATATTAAAAATATTGCGCCAAGATGTAGGCAACACGTAATAAGGCATCAAAATGGCGGAGTTTTCTATCTCCTTTTAAAAGGCACTCAGAAAGCTGCCACATACTTTGATTTTCTCTTACTATACGGAGAATGGTCGCACTACGCAGCTTTCTGAGTGCCTTTTAAAAGGAGATAGAAAACTCTGCCATTTTGATACCTTATTACGTGTTGCCTAAATCTTGGCGCAATATTTGTAATATTTTGCTTGCTGCTGTCAGTGTCAGTGAACAAGTTTTGAGGATTTATAATAATATATCATTTTGTGTTTTAGACGTGATTTACACGATTATTTTTAATTAATTGGTGATTGTCTGTTAATTTTTAGTTCTTTTTTGTTCTCTTTTCATTGTCTAAATATCAGGATGTATAGACTACCAGTTTAACTTTTAGGAAATATATGTGTTGCCTAACCTAGTAGTAAAGGCACAGTTTATTGCTAAAGAGTCAGTTAGCTCACTCGGGGATACAAATTCAGGATGCACATAAGACTGCTGTTTGAATATAGACGGTTGTCATACATTGTATTATCCGAGTTGCGCAGTGTATAAATTGAGATCAAAAGTGCCGACGCAGAGTGAGCGAACTGATTCTTTAGCTATAAACTGTGGCAAAGGCATCAAAATGGCCGCGCCCTATGATGGGCGTGTCGGACCTCTCTCTTTCACCGTATAGTAATCAAAGTATGTGATGTGAGCCAACCAAATACTTTTTGGACCTGGCCCTATTGATCTGACAAAATCGGTAGTGATCTTAGATTATGCAAACCTTAGATGGAACATAAGACCCTGCGCATAATCCCA